TTTTGTCCAATACACTGGTTTTTACATCACTTGTAATAAATAGCTTTTACATTAACAGCAAACATTATTAGAATTAGCAATGTACAAGAAACAGCCTTCATGAAAGTATCCAGACAAGACAGAGAATGGATATTTGCGCATTTCTGGACTGGCTGCAGGTCTCTCAAGTAGCTTTTGCACAAGCCTACAACTTCTAAAGTTTGCTCCAGCACTTTGAGGTTTAGAAAGGAGGAAAAATCTTTGCATCAGAAGATGTAAGCACCAGAATAGTAGACTGAAAATTATTGGAAGCCAAAATCCCCTCAGTAACACAGGGTCACCAAGCCCTATGCACTGAGCTCACAAAACTGCAAATAGTCTTTTCAACGAAACAGAGCAGCCGTTCAATATCTAGGGAGAGTGTCAAATCACTTACTAGAACTGTCTTGTTTTTGGGTACAGTGGTGCCTCGCATAGTGATAGCTCCGTTTTACGGTAAAATCGCTTAGCGACGCATTTTTGCGATCGCTTTGCGATGCTCCCTATGGGTTATTTTCGCTTTGCGATGATCGCAGGGAAGCGATCATCACAAAGCCCCCATTTTCGGCCAGCTGATCGGCGGTTTCAAAATGGCCGCCCGCTGTTTTCAGGCATGGATTCCTTGCTTAAGAGGCACCGAAAATGGCGGCGCTATGGAGGATCTTCACTCAACGGTGAGTTTTAAGCCTATAGGAATGCATTAATCGTGTTTTAATGTGTTTCTATGGGCTTTTTTATTTTGCTTAGCTATCTTTTCGTTTAGCGATTTTTTGGAACTAATTAACATCGCTAAGCGTTTAGTGATTTTTTTGGAACTAATTAACATCGCTAAGCGAGGCACCACTGTAGTTACAATGGATCTTCCTTATATTCAATTTATCAAGTATGACTGCGTGAATGTAAGTCTGCTTTGCAAGATTTCACAGGAGAGATCAAAGTAGTACTAGAGCTGATCTTTCCACATTTCCCCTATTATTTTCTACTGTTGATTTTTTAAAAATGCCTATTTATACTAGGTAGATTCATGGGATGACGCGAACACTGTGCAAGGAATGTTGCTTCTGAAGGTGGGTACAGAGGGAGGGAAGCTTGTGGGAGTCTACCTACACATGGAAGACCCATCACATTCCCCAAACTGATGGTGCTGCACAGAGTCTCAATTCTCTTATCTCTTTGGTTTCCCCAATTGCAATTTTCCCTCATCTGGAAATATACAAATGACTAAAAATACCTGCATGAACCCAATGGTGGGGGGACACATTTCAGTCAACTTCCAAACCAACTTGGGATGGGTTGGCTACAATTGGTACAGCAAATATTTTAATACAAATCAGTTGATGGTCACACATCCCTAATCAGAAGTATTTTCTTAGTGAATACAGTCATCGTTTTTGTATTGTATTGTCAGATTGTATTTGTCTTCAGTGTGGAAGGGATTGTCACTCTTGAATTGGCCTTCTCAGCCACACTAGACACTGTCTTATATTAATTTTTGTGTTTCCCCAAATATAAGACAGGGTCTTATATTAATTTTTGCTCCAACAAAACGCATTAGGGCTTATTTTCTGGAGATGTTTTATGGTTTTTTTTAATGTACAACAATCTACATTTATTCAAATACAGTCATGTCATCTTCTTCTGGATGCTACACAAGGGTGGAGGGTGGGGTTTCACTTAACTAGGCCTTATTTTTGGGACAGGGCTTATATTAGGAGCATCCTGAAAAATCATACTAGGGCTTATTTTCAGGGTAGATCTTATTTTCAGGGAAACAGGGTATTCAGAGCATGTTACCATAGGCTCTCGAGAATGAATGTTGCCTACACAACATTCACAGTTTATTTATGCTGGGCTGAATAATATTCACTGTTCAACTGATTAATTTAGCTATAATTATTCATTCACCAGCAAGAAAACATGGCATAAATTCCCACAAAAACTGTCCCATACAAAAGAGAGTTCACCGTCCATAAAAAGTAGGCCCCCAAAGACTTCTTCTGCATTTCCAAGGAATGAGATAATGGGAGGAGGGGGGAAGCCCAACATATTGAGCAGTACCTATTTACTTCTAAAAATGTTTAATGTTATGGAACCTGTCCTTAAGTTTCCTGTGAGCATGCGTTAATTCTTAGAAAATTCTAACTCATGTTAGATAACTAAACATAAGATATAGTACGTTCAGTCCAGGTTGACAGTTTTTACATAAGCAAAATAAGATTTCTTTTCTTGATGTCCATAAAAGAACTGTAAAATTTCCTCCAGAGTGATGAGAAATTCGAAAACATAGTATAGTTCATAGTAGCATCCACAATGGAGAGACAAAACTGGCAATGAGTCAGAAATAGCTAGAAAGCATACTTAATATGCATTCCTTATATTAAGAATCAATGACACCAAACTTACCTTGGGAAACTGTTTTACTGGAATTAATACTTTTTGTCCCAGTTTCATATTTTTGTTAATCACTACATCAATGTACTTTTCTTCTTCTTTGCTTTCCCCTTTTTGGAATTTATCGATCTCTGTAATGAAAAGTACAAAATGTGTTCTGGTGTTAATGTTCCTAAATCATTTTGAGTATATATTCTTGTTTATTGATGCTCATCTGGGCAACTGTAAAAACATACATACTTCCAGGTCCAACCACATGTTCATCCAGCCTAGCATCCTGAATGTGTGACATTCAGGAGGTCTCTAGAACCTGAAGGAGAGATCTTTTCCAGCCTTCTACTAACTGACCCTTTCAGCTGATCATGAGGAATGAACCAAGAGTTTTCAATATGCCAACCGTTCAGCGGTGACACTTCTATTACTTACATTGCTTTGACAAAGGAAAATAATAGGATGTGCCTTATAAAATAGTAAGAATGGTATGATGACACTATATGACAGAAACAGAGGAACAAGAATTCATCTGGTGAGTTTTGTTATCATTGGCTCAGTTCATACTAACTCCTAAGTCAAGAAGCAGATGGAGGTTTCTGATGGTAGTAGCAAAAATAAATAAAGTGGGCTTGATCCAGGCTAAGGTAGTTGCACTGAAGTGAACAAGAGAATTTAGTCATGATTTGTGCCAATTACATCCTGTTGCAATCCAAAATACTCAACCAGCAGACCAGGTATTAGTATATGCACCTCAGATAGCCCACAACAGCCAACTCTTACCATTATTTTATTTTCACAGTGTTCCACTTTCACATGTACATTTTCAATATTCCAGACCTAACAATAAGCAGCGGGGCAAATGTCTCTTTCTATAGAACTAGCTTGGTATTTGTATTAAAATGGTGGAGCAACACTGCTGCCAACCGCTCATATCCTCAAGCCAGAAAAAGCTGCAGGGGGCATCAAACGCTCCTTGACCAGGATACCCTACCAAAAATGCCAAATGCAAGGGGGTTAACCTGTGGCCCTGCAGATGCTATTTGATAACAACTCCTGGTGTATCTCATTGTTGGGTATGCTCCCTAATAATGATGGATGTTGTACGTGTATCTCATTGTTGGCTATGCTCCCTAATAATGATGGATGTTGTACTCTTAAGATCTGGAAGGCCATATTTTCTCTTTCCTTGTGCTAACTAAAGGCTGGTTACAGCTGATAATGCTTAAGATGCATGTTAGAATAGAACATCTAGTCCAGCACTGTCCACCCATTTCCAACGGGAAGGCCATAAGCAGCCTATGATACTCCCCCTGCTTCCCCAGTTGCTGGGATTTGAAGGCTGCTTAATTTAAGTTCTGGGCACTATATAAAATCAAGGTGAGTAGTCACTGACATTACCCTTAATGTAGTATTTTCACACAGTTTTCACTACAGGGGAACTCATGGAAGTGGTATCAAAACTATAACTAGAAATAGCTATTTATCTTTTTTTTAAAAAAAAAAAAAACTGCATTAAGAACTAGTTTCACACCTCTACCTTGCATGTTACATCGAAAGCAGGAAATTAGCATTTTGACCATTTCAACTTCTTCAACATATTTTTAACATAATCTCAAAAATATACACTTTCCTCAAGAACTATCAGATGACTTTTGAAATGTTTATTTTATTTCCATGTATTAAAACTTTCTGAAGGATAAAGCGCCTTTTTACTTGCCCGGGCATTCTAAACATTTAACCTTCAGTGATATGTTTTGTTCCAGAATTTTCTCACTAGCTCTTGATTTTGTTATATTACTATATTGTATTATATTATATTATGGTGAGTTGAACAATACTCTTTCTCTAGTGCATCAGAATCTAGAGGAACGAAAGGCAGATTCAAAGGGCTTCTGACACATAAAAGCAAACTAAGATGACTAGCTATGGTTATATTCTGCGCCTATGTCAAACAGACTTTAAGCATTACCTGTCTCTTGAGACAGGCCTAGAACGATCAAAACTTGACTCAGTCAACCTTTTCAGAAATATGTGAATCTTGCCCACATACTACTATCTTTGGAGTGAAAGAAATGAAGAACAGCTTCAAGAATAGGATACAAATAAATAGCTTTAGACAAGTGTAGGGGGAAAAATCACCTTAAATTAGATATTACTTATACCATGTGCCTGTTCTAAGAATGATTATTTCCTTAATTTTTCAAGAAACACAGGAAGCTTACCAAAACTTAAAAATGAAACAGATATGGAATTCAATAGCAACCCAACTTGTCAAACAACTCTTTAATGGTTACTGAACTAAGTAAGGAGCTAAGTAAGGTATGTCTGACAATCGCAAGGTCAGCTTCCCCAGAAAGCAGTTGACACGTTGATCATGGGTGTACATATGCACCTCTGGCTATTATCAAAACCTGTACCGCCAGGTTCCATGCTGAATCCAAGAATATGCCCCAGCTATGAATATGAGGGCCAAACTCTGGGTTACAGGTACCCTGAAATTATAATTTAAATTTGAATTTGTGTGTGTGTGTGTGTGTGTGTGTCTGTGTGTGTGTGCGCGCACACACACGTGTGCTCATGTGCTCGCTTGCACCAGAGATCTGACTCAGACAGACCTTGTCAACCAAGTGATCATACTTTCAAATGAAGCCTGAAATTCCCTCCTAAGTACCAAATTTGTGTGTGTGTGTGTGTGTGTGTGTGTGTGTGTGTGTGTGTGTCTGTGTGTGTGTGTGCGCGCACACACACGTGTGCTCATGTGCTCGCTTGCACCAGAGATCTGACTCAGACAGACCTTGTCAACCAAGTGATCATATTTTCAAATGAAGCCTGAAATTCCCTCCTAAGTACCAATCAAGAAACAAAGCAAGCCAATTTGCAAATTATGGGGTGTGTGTAAAAGTTCCTGTTGTAACAATCATATGCTTACAGTACTTAATGAACTCAACACCACATTCTAATTACCACTAAGGCAACTGTAGAATGATTTCACTACATCGGGTGGGCTAGAAGCATTGTAAATAAAAATAAATAATAGTTGCTATCAATGGTGAAATCATATTGTGGAGATAAAGAGCTGTTTGAGACCAACAGAATTGATCTGCAATACGTGACACTGGAATTATAACTTTAATAACTTATTCCTGAATATTCTTAATATTTTCCCTTTTTTCTTGTGTTTTCTGTTATCTCATATTGGTTTTAGATCTGGATCAATGAACTCTCATTTTGATTGTATTTTTGAATGTGGAGTTCTGAGTTTTGTCAACTGCCCATATACTGTGTTTCACTAAAGGGACAGCATAAAAACCAAATAAAACAATAAAAATAATTATCAGCTTAGAACTGCAGGGGTGGAAGGGAGGTCTGGCCCCTGTCAAGTACAAAAATCTAAAATGCTAATAACAAATATTCTTACATTTCCATGATGGTATTAAAACTAATAGAACATGCTCATATAGCCACTTTAATGAACCATTTCACTGATATGATACCTGCAGAACAGGAATCATTTAATTTGGCTCAAATCTATCTTTTTCATCATAATCAAAATCACCTGCAAAGGACAATCCCAATATTGAAGTGATGACATGGTAAACTTAATGAGTTAATTGTTTAAGGCCTATGAACTCAATTTGCCACCAGAATCACCAAGTCCAAGATTTAAAAGTCAACCTTAACTTCCAGTCACATCCTGGAACTATAACAATCAACGAAGTGCTCAGGAGTTCCATTTTCTCACTTTCACTATCCAAGTTCACTATCAGAGAACGACTACTTGGATCTTGGCCAAGGTTCCGTCTTCTGGAGTACCAGATACTACACATTTAAAGTGCAGGCAGTGTGAAATTCTTCCTTGTCTCTAGCACTCATCCTAAGATAAAGAGGCTGTTTCTAGAGTGCAAGAAACTGTTTGCCTGAAGACTGCTGGATGGCTCAGTGGTTTAGGTATGGCTAGGAGTTCAATTCCCCACTGCGCTTCCTTTAGAGGGGCTGGACTTGATGATCCACAGGGCCCCCTTCCAGCTCTGTAGCTCTAAGATGAGGATTATTCTCTTCACAATGTCATACTCAGTCAAAGAGACACAGAAACCCATTAGTACCCCAAACTTTGCTATTTGGTATTCAAACCAGAAAGATTAATCTCTTCTTTTTCCAAATTCTACAAAACCCTTCAGTTATTTTCCAAGGGAAAAAAATTGCCATTCAATAAGAACTTAACCTGAACACAGTATTCTCAAGTACCTTGTTAATGACACCGATACAATGAAAATTCATGACCACAGAAAGTAAATTTAGCTATCAATTGTTCTGCTTCCTCCCAGCTCTTTATTAAATTCAAAAATGCCTCCTTTAGGTTTTGATACATTGTTTAGAACACAAAAACATCCCATTTGAAAAGATGTGCCTTAAAATAAGCATATTCTGTGCCAATGAAAACAAGTTACAATAGCACATTTCATATGCACATATTTGTGTTTAAAGTGCTACACATACATTAATTCAATAACACCTATAAATACTCTGCCAGGCAAATACGTATTCATGTCCCCACAGAGCAGATTGATAAAGCACTCAGTTTCACAGAGTGGGGCTTGTCCAAGCTGTGAAGTACACAACTGCCAGCCACACACATAATGTGCACTTTTTCCCAAAGTAGTAGACTAGGCAGAGATGCTCACAAACGTTTCACTGGTTATTTCCCCTGAAATTAAGCCATAATCACAAATCCAGACACATAATACACAAAAATTGAGGAATCTGTTCCTCAATTTATTACCAATACAATTATTTTATACAGTATATATAAAAAACCAAATCAAGGTTTGAAATTGCACAGGGTGAATTTGATTCAAATCAACAGATTTAAATCACAGTTTAAATTTTTTAAAATCAGATTTTTAAATTGAGTTATATTGTGATTTATATCAGTTTGATTTTAGAAAAAAAAACGTTTTTATCCACCCTGAAATTGCAGAGGGACCTTGAAAGAAGAGGGAAGAACTCTACCAGAGAGAATACCCTAATTTCACTTCAGAAAAGTGAGATATTTGCAGCCAAGCAAATCAGCATCCCACAAGAAAATTTAGGCAAATTTTGTCTGCCAACTTAAAACAGATCAAATGCATTGAAAAGA